CAAATATTATCACCCTGTATTATATTTAAAGAAATTAATAATGAAGAATATGCATAAATATATGTATGTTCCTTGCATTGTATGCTTCTCTTTACTCTTATCTATTTACCATTGCTTTCATGATATCCCACATCTGTCTTTATTTCTTAGCCCTAAATTTCTGCTTTAACTTCCTCCCCCCAAAACAGGATTTTCCTCCACATAACACAGCAGCCAATTCTGCTGCATTTAGGTTAGAATACTATTTTGTGCCATTCTGAAGCCAGGATCATCACTAAGCATAATGTCAACATAAAAGGTAACTTGGGATTCGATTACTAATAAAAAAAATTAAAAAAATGTTTAGACATCCCGGTGTGAGTCATTTCTCAAGCTACCATGTGTTGAGTCAAGCTATGATGAAACAAAATATACAAATAAATAATGATTCACCAAATTAGCATCAGGGATATAAGTTATTCAATAAATATAAAAATCAATGATACTTCAGGGTAGAATATTTCAGTTTGAGATGCATGTCTAGCAAAACACTGACTATAAAGTCAAATTATTGATCATACAGATTTATGGTAATAAATATTTTTTTCTTCAATACAGAGGTATTTTAATTAATGAAATTAAATTAAGAATCAGGACTGACTCTCACACATATATTATTATGAATCATTTATTGGTTTATTGAGAATATGGCAAAGCACACTAGGGCTATCTGCCTAAAGGGAGGGATGTATTTGTGGAGGACTTTCTAAGGGAAACTGGCTCGTACACATTACAGATGGGGAAAACCAGGAAAACGCCCATGCAGCCAGTCCGTTCACGGGGATTCGAACCTCGGACCGAATTACCAGTGTTCAGCGATTTTACCGCTCGGACACTGGTAGGCCCATATTATTATGAAAGAATATCTAATGCACATGCATAAAGCATACAAAAAGTGTTTGCTTGTACAGCAGAGATCTGGATTTTAGATCATTCTGAATAGTGGACATCCAGATTTCAGACTTTTTTGTGCATGTTAACAGATCTCTTAATATAAAATCACTGTATTACAATATTTGAAATAAAAGGTAAATTTAAAAACATTTGATTTAGGTTTTAAGTGTAATAAACCAAACAGGCTTTGCATTTTATCATATTTTAATCCTGATTAATTAATCTAACATTTTTTTCAAACACAAGTAACAAAAAAATTAATATCCAGATATAAATGAGTAAATAATATACCTGTAGAGCACTAAGAGTATATAATATGTGAGGATCATGACCAATACTGGAACTAAATCCACCACATTTATGCTGACAACTTTTTAAAAATTCTAGTACAGATTCCTTGTCTAATTTTTCAACCTGTCCCATTAAGTCCAAGGCCGTAAGACCCCAGTAGATGCCACTCAATCGTAAATATTCAGTAATACAGTATTCCTGAAAAATAATGAATTATTGATCCATTTATGGCATGCAAAAAATAATCTAATTACTAAAAACTTGGTTAAAATATTCAATAGGCAGAGAAAGAAAAAGAATTAACCATAGCCTGTTTTAAAATAAAGTACATGCCCCTTATTAAAATCACTTCCTTTCCAAGCATATTTGAGTTTATTAAATGGCTGAGTTTAATGAACAATTATTTGTGTATTGGAAACCATGATTATCAGTTTTAAATTTTTCAAGTAAAATAATAACTAACAACTAATTTATGAATTAATTCTAAAATAAAATTAAAAATTAATACTAAAATTAAATTAAAATTATACTAAATTAAATTATTTAACAAATTTCATTATTAAACTTTTTATTAAAATGTTTTTAATCATTGCATTTCTTGATGAAATTTTCTCTCTTACAAACAACTAAGCTATTTGTACTTGTTTCATATTGTTCAAAAACAGTTTTTTAAATGTATTGTCTATTTTGTAAAACTTTATTTTCATTAAAGAGTTGTTTAATGAAAATAAAGTGATCAGTCCATTTCTTTAGCTGATCAGCCATTTTCAGTTCCAAGAGTTTTTCTTAGAAATTGGAGTACTTTTTTAGATCTTAAGGCATGTCATTGCTTTTCTCTGCATCATTTTCACAGTCAGCTTCTTTTAACACATTGCTCCATGCATAGTCACATTGTCTCAAAATTGTTGTGAACTAATACATGTTCTAAAAATGAAAACTCATAACTTCTCTCACTGATATCTGAAACATTAGCTATAGTTTGCGATTCCTTTGAGGCATCTTCTTTATAAAATCCAGATTTCTGAAAACAGTTTTTAACATAAAAGCCACATTTCTGAAAACTTATTTTAAGAGATTAACTCCTTGCACTGACTACGAATGCAAAGCTTCTAGCAAAGACTATCAGCTTAATTATCTCCTTCGAAGTGCTTGCATTTTTACAAAATACAGTTCTGTTCATCATTTACTGAACATTATTTCTGTAATAGCACTTTTTAAGTTTTATAATACCCTAAAATTAAAGGTTAAATGCTAGAAGTTGTAGTGGCAGTAAAAGACACTAATGCTTTTCAGAAATAGATCTGAGGTGTGTGTGTGCTGCACAATTATCTAATCATTAAAGCTTTTTTTTTTTCACTTTTCAGTTCATTGTCCCATTTCAAAAGAAAATCAGTAAAAATTGAGTGCCCACAAAGTGGCTGAAGAATTTTAATAGCTTGTTCTTTAGGAATGGAAAAGTTTATACCTTTAGAAATGGCCACACTTTCACAAGCAAGGTTCAAAGCTTTTGTTACAAGTGGCATAAATTATACTATAATTATATTCTAAATAAATGTGACAAAATTACTTCTCGTTTACGGTTTTCCAAGTGTAGGCAGATTTAATTAATCACTGTATCGAGGTAAACTCTGGCTGTGATAATTTGTTCATTCAAGAAAAATGGCTTTAAAATTTAGTCATGCTACATTCACACTCAGCTGTCTCACTTCAAGTCTCTTGTGACAATGATTTTCAGATCCTCAAATTCTTATGTTATGGGTACATTAAACCAAAACAAATTGTTGAGAAAAAAAGTGTAATAACACTACAAAATTTAATATGTGTGTAATAAAACAACAAAATACACACACATTGATATACATGTAATAAAACTACAGAAATAATAGCACTGTTTCTTACGGAGTGCTCACAATAATAGGCCAAAATTATTCAGGGACTTTTTTTTTGTTGAAAACATACAAACTTCCTGTGCACTACAGATGTACTACATGGGGCTTACAGTAGTAAGTTAACTAAAACATTAAAAGTTGCATTCATAAATAAAACAAACAAAAGCAAAGAATGACAGTCTGGAATTCATGAAAACAGATAAGTTCACTGGCCAAATCACTACGAACATTTTCAAATTGTTCTGCAAGCATAATCTAGAGTCATCAAATGTAGGGCATGAGAAAATTAAATGTTCCACATCCTGAGGTACTCTTTTTGAACATATACATAAATTGTTTGATCTTAGATTAAAATGAAACAAGTAACTTGCAAATTTACCATGACCACATAAAAGCTGACAAACTTTAAAATTAACAGAGAGGAAAGACTCGGAATGCAGTCTATGGTAAACAGAAGGAAAGAACTTTTTGTTGACCTCAGCATTACAAGATGAAGTATATTCCTTTTATTTGTCATCCAGGAGTTCTTAATGCTATGGCAAGTTAGAAGTAAATTCTTGGCTTTTTTCAAACATTATGGTTTTCCCTCTTTTGCCAATAATTAGTACTGTTTTTTTAATTGTTGGGTCCCTATTAGGTGGTAATTTTACCAATTCCTGTTTTACTTTTAAATATTAATGTGTATTTTGGTAAGCCCGGTGGCGCAGTGGCTAGCAGATTGCGCAGCAGCACTACAGGTCCAGGTTCAATCCCCGGGCTGGGCAAGGTCAACTCAGCCTTTCATCCCTTGAGTGGGTCACTTGGGACTAAACACTGGGGGTCTTGTGACAAACTGACCACTTGTCCAGCGCATATGCTCGTGCACCTTGGTCAAGAAAGCAGATATAGGGCCACTGCAGGCCTTGGTCCACTAGGGCTGTTATGCCACTGAGTTTAGTTTTTTTGGTAATCTGTAACGCACTCGAGTTTCGCAGGAACTTACCACAAAGTGAAGAAGAAACCGTCTCTCTCTCTCTTTTTTTTTTTCCAGAAAAGACGGAGATTAGAAGCAAATTCCACATGTAATCACAATCATGAAGTGAAGCTTTATTTTTCTGACAGAGTTAGATGGCACTGCAATGTTTCTACCTGCCACCGCAAGAACAGCATTCATAAAGACACATGGTTTGAAACATCCAGATTAAGTTTTCTAGCATCTTGTAAGATTCATTTTATGCTGGAGTGAAGAAATGACATGAATCAAATGGTGTGAAAAACAACTGGAGATGAATGATTCAATAATAGGAGATTGGAGCAACTCCTTCTCTAGTGAAACATGAGAAAAAAAAAAAAAAAAAAAGTGGTCCTAAAAGGATCATTGAAATCAACCAAAGCTTGTTTACCAAACAAATGAGCAATGCTCATCAAAGTCTTCGGAAACAGTGGATATTTGGGGGTATTTGCTGCAAGTATAATCGTTCCAAATGAATGCTTCCTAGTTAGGGTTCTAGGAAGTATTCATTTGGAATGATTACGCTTAACCAATGAATGCTTCCTAGTTAAGGTTCCAAACTGTTCTCTACCAGTTACCAGTACTCTTAGATGGAAGGAAAAAACAGTATTGAAGAAGGAACTATTGTTTATTCCGATTCCTGGAAGGATTACTGCACCACTAAAATTGAAGAAGCGGGTCCACAGCATTTCAAAGTCAACCTCAGGTATAATTTCGTCGACCCCGACACTGATGTAAATATGCAAAAAATCCAATGACTTTCGGGCATTGCCAAAAGGAGAAATATAAAACATCGGGGCACTACCTATCAGCACATGGGGTTGTACCTTGCCAAATTTAAGTGCAGAGAAGGGTCCATTTGAGGAAATTCTCAAGGACATTTGCATATTTTAAAAGAATGAAATAAATATAAAAATTTTGGTAAAAATACATTTAAGGATTGGTCAAATACAAAACCAAAATAACAAGTTAAAGAATTATACAAACTCAGTGTCCATGTACACATCGATCTATTTTCATTAAAAAAAATCAGGGAATTGCACAAACTCAGCACTGAGCACTCCCTTGACTTTGCCCATGTGCACATCAATCTATTTCCACTTTAGAAAAATCAGGAGAATGACGACATCATATAATATTAAAACAAAGTTACTCATCACCAAACTTGAATGAAATTTGTATTTAATCGAAGCTCTGCATTTTAAATCACACAATGAAATAACATAAATGAGGAAATACATCTTACTGCATTTACGCACTACAAAAAGGAAATATCATGATGATATTTAGAAATTTGTATGTCTTCAGTCTGTGGCACACGAAATTCCTTAACACATCCAAAAACTTTAAAAAATTATCAGAACTAGAATATGCATACTGCCGTCACCATATAAATTCACAAAAATAAGGATAAAAAATATCCTCCGTAGTGCAGGACCTGTCGGTGGTATTTCTACATAAACCTTTCTTGCGACAAACCCATTCAAAGCCATCTGAACCATCTTTACATTTAACCATATGCATTTCCTTCGTACAAACAGGACACTTATAATGACTGAGTAAACCTTCATTTACACACAAGTCAATTAATGCTTTTTTTTTTTTTTTCTCTTTCATTCCAAATTGTACAAAAACTTGACATGAATCTCTTCACATACAGCCATTTTAAGGTGTACAGCACAAAATAAGCAATGTACTTCCTAACTGACATCCAACACAGAAATAAACCCTTACAAATATTTTCTCATCAGTCAAATTCACCGCAATCATGCAATCAATCACATCATAAAAGGGTTTCCATAACATTCAACTACTCAGGTTACCATAAACGAAACAACAATTTGGTGATAAATGAAACAATATCTTCGCCATAATCCAAGGAGTCCCCTAAAATATAGACTAACCAAAATTTCTTCTTTGTATATTCATGAAAATAAATACTTTTTTTCCCCTATATTGATGAATGTTTTTGGCTTTGTTTTGGATAGTGGCAATTTTGTTCTGTTCACTTGTGCAAGCAGTTCTAAAATGTCATCCCCCCCAAAAAAGTTGGTGGGATTTATGCCCAGCTAATCAAAAAGTACCAAATAAACTTTTTTGATAGACATGCTTACATGATTGTGTTTCACTTAATAATGATAGGAGACACTCTTGCTTCAGTTAATTTAGAAAAGTAGATGTTTATAAATGAAGTGATAAAGATAGACAGCCACATATGTTTCAAATGAACACCTGCATGGGTGCTGAAACTTGAAATAATAATATCAGATACAGCTGTCCAGTAGGCATTATATAAATATTTGAGAAGGCTAATTAAT